AAACAAACAAACAAACAAGCAGAAGAGCTGAAAGCAGTAAACAAACAAACAAACAAGCAGAAGAGCTGAAAGCAGTAAACAAACAGTGAACTGTGAGCCCAGTAAATGTTAAAAAAAGAACTTCTTGAACACAACAAATCAACAAAGTGAGAGAACGCTCCACCAGATCCCAGCAAACATTTTAATGCAGTCTTTAAATTAAAAATGAAATAAATTAAAATTAATTTAATAAACATCAAAGTTCGTTTGGAAACTGTTTCAAACATTTTGTGTCTTTAAAAAGCAACAAGATAAAAATCAGAAAACCACGAGGGACACTTGAAGTTTGAAAACCAGAAGGAAAGTCGGTCCGGTCTCGGTTCACTGACCTTCTGGTGAGCGCCGGCCCGTCACGTGTCCACAGGTCCTGATCAGAAGGTCTTCTTGCTTTCCATCAAGGTCCACAGGGACTAATTCTGGAACCAAACTACTGCTGATTTCCAGTCCAGATCCAGGTCCAGGTCTAGTTCCAAGTGACAGAACAGGTTCCTGCGGGTTTTTAGACGTGTCTGGTTGTTGTACACTCGAGCAGCTCTGCTCCCACCTGTCTCCCCCCCTCCCCCCACGTCTCTGATGGCTCCTCATTAGTTGTCTTCCTTGGTTGTCTTCAGGGGATTTCTTGTTTTTCCTTCAAATGCCTGACGACACAAAACACAAACTGTTTCCTCCTGGTTTGAGTCTGGAACTGATCCAGGACCAGCAAACATCTGACCAGAAGATGTTCACCAACGTTTGTCAGTAAGAATTATGTTGATTCCACGTCTTCAGTGAGAACGATGAGCACCAACCCTCCTCCAGCTGTCAGCACGGGGGTGGAGGCTGATGGTCTGGCTCCGGTCAGTCATTGAGTGGACCAGTACTCCTCTGGAGACCAAAGGGTTCTGGAGTCAGATGTGAGTCCATCTGTCCAACACCTGAAGCTTGGACTAATCTGGGCCCAACAGGACCAAGATCCCAAACACAGCAGTCGATCTACAACAGAACAAAACCAAGGTGCTGCAACAGTCCAGTCAGAGTCCAGTACCTCAGTCTGACTGAGATGCTGTGGTGGGACTTTCAGGGACCTGAGCAGAATCCTTAATGATGGAAAGAAGAGTGGGCCAGAACTCTCCAGAACCACGAGAGAGACTGAAGAAGTCCTACAGGAACCCATTGATGGTTCTGCTCTACAAGCTGCAGGATCAGGACCCAGAACTTGTTTAATGGCAATGTGGAACCTCAAGTTTAAACTGGACCTACTTTAGAACCTGTTGAAGAGCAGATCACGTTCATGGTATTTTGATGTGTAACCAGGAGGAGGAGAAAGGGTGGACTTTCTTTTAAATACCGACCCAGACTTGGTCCAAGTGATCCTGCCTCGAGTGGATCACCAGCAAACCTCAAGTGTTTTAACTTTTCATTTGGCCAGATCCATTATTCAGGTCTACCGATTCATTCTTACTCATCTGCACAGACTCATGTTCGTGCTGCTGTTCGGCGTACGGTCATCCTCCTGAGAGTTTGTCATCCTCCAATGCAAGAGTTGGGGGTTCGAATCCACCAGCAGTGGAAGTGCCCTTGGGCAAGACACTGAACCCCTGATTGCCTCCGATGTGTCCCATCGGTGTCTGATTTTGATGTGTTGTATTTACTGTTAACTTTATGTTTCCGAGTGGCACTAGATGCATTTTTTACTCTTTTTATCCTCTTAGCTGCAAAGTACTTTGGTCAGCTGTTGCTTGTGTCTGCTATAATATAACAATAATAACAATAATATAAATTGACATTGATAAAAGCTCTGATTAGTCTCTCGACATGAAATTTTTATTTTAAATAAATTTTAAATTATTTGGCACCTCAGCCCAGAGCTGCAGGATGAACTCGCTGCTGCAGCTGATCAGCTGTTCACCGTGCAGAACGGACAAGTGGCCGTGGCCAAGAGCGCTTGCAGGTGGCAAAGAGCAGACGTCACAAAAGAGGCATACAATTTTTTTTTTTAACAAATCACAACAAAATAGCAACCAAAAGGAAAATGAAAAGGAAAAGTAGCAAAAACAACAAAAACAAAAAAACAACAACAAACAGCTAGAATATAAGGCAGTGTAGAAAACTAAAAACAGGAGCATGTCTGCATTGGTTTTATATATATCTATATATATCTATATATATCTATATATCTATATATATATCTATATATATATATATAGATATCTGCTCACACAGACTCATGTTCATGTTTGTGCTGATGTTCAATGTTTTATGTTATGAGTGCTTAGTGTATATTTAGTTGATGTTTTTCTTAGTTCATATCTTAGATGTTATTACTGTTTTTCTTATACATTTTATTGTTGGATGTAACTGGGACCCTGTGAACATAGTTTCGCTCCACCACATGTACCACATGAGGTGCGAATGACAATAAAGAATCTCTGACTCTGATATATATATATATATATAATATTAAAATAAACTACTACATACTACTTGTACTAATATTCCTACTTTGCAGTTTTCCACTTATCGCGGTCATCAGGGTACGGATCCCCCGTGATAAACGAGGGACTATATTGTTTATTTATTACTGGCGCAGGGATCCTCATTGCGCGGCTCCCGAGCCACATGCGGCTCGCCATGCTTTATTGGTGGCTTCGTGACAGGTTACAACAACACGCCAGCACAGCCAGTACATTTTCAAAACGTGCAGGAGCATTGCACAATAATTGTGCATGTCTGCTTGGGCTTCTTTGACGCGGTTTTGTGAATTGTGTTAATCTGCTTGTTGAGGACGAGGCAGGTCCAACCGTCCGGTAGAGGTAAAAAAAAAAGTCCTGTCAATCTCAGATGGATCGGCTGCGTGCGTCTCCGCACCTGCTCTCATCTGCGGTGAAGGAAGTAGGAGCATCTTACAGGCCGGTTCTAGGCATGGTTACATGAGGGGGCATCTTCATCCGTACACATATTACAGCATATTCATTGTTGAGCATGGGCTTTGTTATTTATTGTTACTGTTGACTTGTGTTTTCTTCATGGGACTGCGGTAAAAGATAAAAACTGAATTTTTTACACCTGTGAGTCAACATTTTCAACCATGAACACTGTCAAGCAAACCCAGAGAAACTGACTGACCCATGCCCATCTTGAATGTCTCAGTGTGGCTGCAACAAAAAATTACAGCATGAAGAGAGTCCAGGACATGCAGCTTCTCAGCTCAGTATGATGAACATTTTGATTCAACAGATAATGTGGGGGCTGTGGGGGGTTTGTTCATAGGTGGGTTGCTTCATTTTTTTCTTTTATTTGAGTGACTTGAAGTGATCTCACTGCTCTCCCCTTGACTTTGATCTGTCAATATGGCTGTTTTGAAAAAAAAAAAAAAGTGAGGATCACTGATCTACTGCTTAGTGTATTTTTAGTCTAACATTCTTAGTTCATCTTATTAATGTTTTTTGCTTTTACATTTTGTACTTTTGTTGGATGTAACTGGGACCCTGTGTACATAAATTAAATCCACCACATGCAACACATGTGGAGCGTATGACAAATAAACTGACTGTTTACTGAGTACCTAGGCTCTTGGCTCTTGATGGGTTCTATGTCTCCATCTAGTGGACATCTCTGATTCCTGCATCTCATTACATGGTCACGACCTCTGGCTACAGTAGACATTAACGACAACAAAACTGGATTCACTGCATTTAATTATTTTGTTTGGCTGGATTAAGAAGAGAAGATGGGCCAGAACTGAAAGTTTGAACAAAAAAAGGCACATGAAAATTATAACAATGAAATATGAATCAAAGAGAAAGAATGTTGAGTTTGGAAAACTACGTTCCTGACTTCATCAACACAAAACTCATCCACAGGTTTAGAAGTCTCTTGGCCTTTGGACTTTTTGTCCCTTCTTTATTTACTGGAAGGAGGTTCCAAAGCAAAAGGACCTAGATGCAAAGATCTTAACCTGAAATCACACACAAAAAAAAATGTTAGGGTCTAAACACATCCAAACCAGTTCACCAGATCACGATGGTCTAAAC